ATCCTCCAAACATAGTCCACTAAATCCTCCAAAACTAGTCCATTAAACTGGTCTTTCATCTCTGGAGTCAAGATGGTGGGACCAGAGAAGAAACAGAACTGGAACTGTTAGAACTAGAACAGAACTACACAGGTCTAGAACAGTTCCTCCTTCGGAGAGAGGTTGATGTCAAAACTAAACAATACAAAGGAGTAACCTTAAGTGTGGGGGGACAACAACAATGACGACGACAGCAACAACAACGACAACAATGACAATGACAACAATGACAATGACAACAATGACAACAAAGACAACAACAGGAACAGAGGGAACAACATGACCACTGCTGTTCCTGAAAGGGGGGGGACTAGACAGAGAGGGAGAAAAGGGGGAGGGGGGTGTGTTTCCCAGGCTCAGAAAAAGATTAATTCGGCAGTGAGTGAAGAGAAAAGAATAATTGTTGAATCAGCTGCACACACACACACACACACACACACACACACACACACATATACACACTGTGTTCAGAGTGCGCAACAGTGGGTTGGTGAAATCTGCAGACCAGCCTCTGTGACACTGTCACTGCCTGAAACACACACACACAAACGCACGCGCACACGCACAGACAAATGGTGACCAATGAAGCACGCGTAGCAATGACAGGGGGTCACATGAACGCTTCGCACATCCACTGATTGTGTGAGTGCGTGTGCGTGTCGGCCGGTGAACACGTACACAGACAGAGAGAGGAGTGAAGGACAAGAGAGAGAGAGAGAGAGAGAGAGAGAGAGACATAGGGATAGAGGGGGGCGAGAACAGACTCACTGCTGCCTCCTGAAGGCCGTCGAGCTTCATCTCCTCCACCTCCTCCTCCTCCTCTTTTCTTTCCTCCTTCCTTCCTCCTCTTGTCTTCCTCCGTCCAAACATCCCACAGCTGGACGTGGACATGCAGCAGACCTCCCTCCTGCTCCGTCTGCTCCTCTCCTAAGTCCTCGGTGTCCACTGTCTCCTGCTGCAGGTGTCCACTCCTCCTCCTCTTCACTGTCTCCTCCTCAACAGCAGCAGAAAAACCCGCACATGTTCCCGCAGCGCTCCGCACCTCCTCACCCTGGAAGCACGCTCACGTCCGCGCACACGCACAAGCTCACACGCCCGCGCACATTGGGACCAATATTCCTCCGACTCTGTGACACACACACACACAGGCATGTTAATGTGCTGCTCTCTCATCCTCCAACACCCCTCGCCCCCACCCTCAGTTAAAATTCAGTATGTACGTTCTGTCTCCATGGTAACTCCCCGTCTTCATCACTTCCGGTGACACGTGTTGAATGTTAAATAAACTCTCATTTGTTCACATTTTTGTTTAGTTTTACATTCATTTATAAAGTATAAATATACACATATTTACACACATATACACACGTACATATAAATGCATATATGTACACACACACATATTCGAGGGCTGTACAGTTAATCAATTTTTTAATCACAATCACGATTTAATGAAGATGAACGTAACGATATTAACATAGAAATATCGGCCCCGGAGGATAATCAATACATCCATTGATCGAAGTCGATAATTTACAGACCGATAGATTTGCGTGCGTGGGTTTGCTAAGAAATGAGAGGAGTGAACCCTCTTGTCAGTTATCCACTCTTTGTGAGGGAAAACAGAACCACCCGATCCAGGTGAGGAAAAGAACAACTGCCCCTGGACTGAACAACACCACCTCTGACAGCCCTTCAATTACACACCTTAGTTGATTCCACCTTAGGTGGTCCAATCAGTGGCTCGTCCATAATGAGGGGCCTTCAGGTACCATAGGAACATACATATGCCTTATATATATATATATATGTTTATATTCGTGGTTAAGACTCAAAATAATGTTGACAACATTATGGTTAATTGGAAATATTTTATGGAACAATATATTGTCCAGCACAATGTGTCGTTATCATCACAGGCTCTGCAGAATATGACTTTAAGATTTTCTCATAGAAATAGACAGCCAACCACCAGGGGGCGTGCAGAACCTGCCTAAATAGAAAGTGAGCGGGCCCTACCTAATGTGAGGGTGAGAGGTAATGTAGGGAGCAGAAGGTGGCAGTATCGCAGCATTGGAAGAGAGGAGGCGCTAGTACCTCGTCATGGATTACTATCTTCTGTCTGGAGGTTTCTTAGATTCAGATGGAATAACGTGAGAAAAATAAATGATACACAAAGAGAACTGTGTCTGCCTCGCAGGGCATCAGGGTAACAACCGCAGGGCAACACGGCTAACTTATTCAACCACCTGAAAGAACCATGAATACACGAAGGCCAGAGCTAACGCTACACTGGTCCACTGGTGTCCAGCACCAACCCAGACAACCGTAACACCAACCCTGCACTGAGTGACACGGTCAAATAACGGACGCAGCAGGGTTCTATTTGGTCAGTCGTGTCCAATCAGAAACAAGAGCTGTGTAGTAAGTCACTTAGTTTATGAAAATGATATTGGAGGTGTACAGGGCTGTCAAACATCAAACCCCAGTTCCTTAAAGGTGGTTTTAATTTAACGGCTGAAGAAACTGACATCTGATCTACGTTTTTTTTTTTTTTTACAAACATCACACACTTTAAATCAGTGTTCCAACACAGCCACAGTGGGAGGAGCATACAGCCCTAGTGATTTATCTTTGTTTCTAATGTAAACTCAAAGTAAAGAAAACATTTTCAGTTTTTTGACAAACCTCAGGTTGAAACCACATTTATCTTCAAACAGAAACATTGATTTTTAACATTTGTCTCATTTCATTCATGAAAGTCATTTTTTAGAGTTGTTATGGACTGCCATCAGATCAGGTGACTTGAGGTGTGTGTGTGTGTGTGTGTGTGTGTGTGTGTGTAAATCAGCACCATCATTGTCCAGAACAATATCAATACAACACTGTTCATACTGATCGGTTCCACAGTCTCTCCTCCCAAGGTTCTCACATTAGATCCAACTTCCTGTTCTTCACTTTTTTAAAAGTCAATGTTTCAAACAAGGTCACGAACCCAAACCTGGGACTTGTTAAAATAGTTTGTTTTGTTACTAAGATTCTTCAGCTCAACTCATACTGAGCAGCACCAACTAGAGGACACTTGATGCAAGTCCTGATTTTCCTCTAAATAAGATCAGTAAGGTACATGAAAATAGAAAAGCCTTAAGTTTCCAAACTTCAATCAAAATGACCCTCTTCTTGCCCCACAGGGACATTCAGGTTGACCCCCAACTCCCCCTCTGGTATACAGGCATCCCTGAGGATGTGGGAGCCTTCCCAAATACAGTTTCAAGGTTTGTGTACCCTCTGCTGGCAGTTCAGGTCTCCAACGCCTGTCTTCTGATCAACTCTATGGAAGAACCTGATTGGACCGTGTTGATACATTCTTTATTAATAGATACACTGACATTTATTAACAGACGGAGCCTTTGTCTATAAACCCCGCCCCTTCCTGTTCATGAGCAGAATATTTTTACAAATCTCGTCTTTGACACCTTAAAGTCTGCTTTTTACTTTGATTAATAGAAAAATATACAACTTGTCTAGAGATGATCAGACAGCGCCCCCTCTAAGCTAGTGCCTCCTCTAATTTCTCTTCATTTTAAAAATACGCATTTCATTTCATTGTTCCGTTGATTAAAAAAACGACACGTTACAAAGCTAACCGATGTTCAACTGTAGGCGACGATGAGCGTCAACACCAGGAGGTGGCGATGAGAAGTGACAACAGGAGGCAATGATGAGTGGCGACACCAGGAGGCGACGATGAGCATCAACACCAGGTGGCAACGATGAGTGGTGACACCAGGGGGTGCTGCTGCTTCTGTTTTCACCTCCTTCCTTCCATCACAGGTCGCCATGGCAACTTTCATACTTGTTGATGACATTCCGGCAGCGTCCCAGCTCCTTTCTCATGTCTGCCACCTCCTGGCGGAGCACGGCGTTCTCCCTCTCCAAGAATGCTGCTCGGACAGAGATCTGGTTTTCCTTTAGCCTCCGAGCATCTCTGGAACGTTTGGCCGCCTCGTTGTTCTTCACACGTCGGTTCCAGTACTTGTCATCCTTTTGTCAGTGATGAGGGGAGGGCAGTGTGTGGGGGAGTAAGGAAAGAGAAGAAGGCAGAGGCAGAGGTGATTAAAACAGGGGAAGGAAAGAAGGAGGTAAGAGACCTCAAAAGTGACTGACATTCCACAGGGATTATGGTCCAGATCAGATGTTCTTCCTTAATCACAATCTTCAATATCTTACTCTTCTCTCTTCTCTAATTCTGATCAATAATCCACATCACCACTCACTAATCTTAATCCCTAACACATTACTTTTAATCTTAGATTATTAAAGGGCAGAGATTTGAAATAGAATATTTCTTTATCTGTTAAACTATCTCTAATCCACAGTCCTGTTGAGACAAGGAGCAGGAGACACGGCTACACAGAACACAACACTATGAATTGTGGGAGATGGAGTACCTTCTGCTCTTCAGGAACAACAATCTTCCTGGCCTTCTTGATCATTGGCTGAGGTTTCAGCTCCTCCTCGCTGAAGCAGTGATTTCTGGGATCAAACGCCTCCTGACCTGGAACACTTGATAAGGCCAAGTCTGCAGGGTCAGGGTCAAAGTTCACCTGAATGTCACTGCTGCCTTCTCCGCCCCCAGCACCTACAAAAGTCAGGTGATCTTTATCAACGTGCACCTGAAGTCAAACAAACATTCGGGGACTTCTATTACAGGGCTCTCCTGCACTGACAACAAGAGACCAGCAGATGTCAGTGTCACTCTCCAGCAGATCAGTATGGGACAGAAGCAGAAGTTACATAGCTGGATGATTGGGGGGGGGCTCCACGTTCAGAATGTCGTCGGTATTGGTTACAGGCGACTAATTTCATTGGTCAGCTAGTAATGACAGTTGCTAATTACCAGAATAATAATCATGTTTTTTCTTAAAATAACACCTGGATCTCATCAGTGTGAATACGTTTGTGGGTTGCATAGTTGCGTTTGATTACCTCATCAATCTTCAGCATGAGGTGTAACAACAAATTGCTAGTTGCTATGCATGGCTAACAAGCTGCCGCCAGGTGATGAATAAGGTTTTGTCTGCGGTTTGGAAAAGTGTTGCCCTCAGACCTTAGGTTAGGGTTAGTTCTACAAGGAGGAACCCGTGTTAGTTAAAATAGAGTTTATCAATAAATCACCAGGCATCGTCTTTAAACCACATTTGAGTGATTTTTTTTACCCTGCTGGTCACATCTGGTAACACATCAGCTCAAACCACAGATCCATACTTCAATCAAATCAGAGGGAGAGCCCTGTAGAGTCCAGCTGAGAAATTCAATGACAGTATTGGTAAAGTTCTAAGGACTGATTGTGTCTATAAATGTTGTTTCCTGAGTGAATCTCTACCTCAAAGTCATAAACTTCATATTTGTCTGGTAGAACTTATTAAAATGTTACAGTTGACAGTCAAAAATATCAGATTGAAATAACTTGAAGTTTGTTTTCTTATCTTTCAAGGACGTTTGTTTTTTTTCCCTTCTAATCATCAGTTTGGAGTTTCATCCGCACACATCGGTAACAGGACTGAAGTACTGGACAGTATGGGAACATCAGAACACAGTGGTTCAATGACCCACCGTGAAGTAGAGTTGAGATAGTTATTATGTTATTGAGGTATATAATAACCCTTTATGAACCTCCCCCCACTGTTATCACCCCCAACTCACAGTAGAGTTGTAGAACGGAAATATAAGACAAACATATGACGTCAAGGAATGAAATAGATCAATGCTGTGTTCCAAGTCTTTAGTTGATTTTTTACTATGTTTTTCTGTTTAAATTTTTTAGGTTAGAAAATGTTTTTTATCACAAAAATATTGGAAAATTTACCTTAAAATACTGTGACATAGTGAAACTGCCACGAGACTGGAATAAGAAAGAAATAAATCTGCGATGTACTGAGGGAGTGACAGGAAAACCAGGACAACTGTAACAATAAGAAGGTCAACATCTGTGGTGTTGGGTCTTTGGTACAAAGTCCTTAGATGTCAAGGACACATCAGCATGTTGACCTGAGGAGTGGGAATCAAACACTCACCACTGAGACACGCAGCTCCTCCCATCAGGTCCTGCTCCCGCTGAAGCACAGGAGGAGGCTGGACAGCCTCCAGTCCAAGGAGAGAAGAGGAGGAGGAGGACTTGGAAGAAGACGAGGAGGAGCAGGGAGAAGGAGAGGTCGGGGGGCATTGGGAACTTTGACTGGGAACCACTGGCTGGGAATTCTGGGAGAAGACAAAAAGACAAAAGTGACTTATGAGAAGCTCAGTTGATCTTAGGACCTTCTCCTGGTTCCACCATTCTGGTCCAGACCAGTCTCACCTGAGATGGGATCTGGGTGCTGCCAAAACCACCTCCACCTCCTCCCACAGCGTTCTCCATCAGGAACTCCTCCAGGTCCATGTACTGGAGCTGGAACAGTCCTCCCTCACACGGAAGTGTTCTCTCCCACAGCAGTGGACCCAGGAAGGCCGACTGGGAGTGAGGACGAGTGGGACCACTAGAACCAGGGACTCCAGCTAGTCCTGCAGCATTCACAGCCAACGGGTGGTCTACCACGTCACATGACACGTGTTTGTCTGAAGGAGAACAGAAGAAGAGGATGAAGAGGATGAAGAGGAAGATGATGAAGAAGAAGAGGAAGATGATGAAGAGGAAGAAGAAGATGATGATGAAGAGGATGAAGAGGAGGCAGGTGCTCACCTTTCACCTGACAGCAGTCCTTACTTCCTTCCTGGTCACTCTTGACTGGCAGCTGCAGGAGGGTCTTCAAGTTATTCATGGAGGTCACCTGAGGGCCACTCTCTGTAGTGCCCCCTACAGACAAATCTGCAGGCAACAGCTGGGTGAGGGGCCTGGACATATCTCCAACAACACCACCAGCTGGAGTTGTCGAAGTCTTTCGATCAAAAGCTGGTTTTTATCCAATCAGAGAAGGGGACTGACAGGTGTGCCGTCAGAAGATGTGGAGAATGGGTGTACGCTTAATTTCAACACCTGGTGTTGGCCAGCCAGAGACCCACCTGCCCCCGGAGGACACGAGAGGAGAAGACATGGAGATATGAAAAGATGATCTCCTTAATTCATGTCAGAACTTTGGACCAAAATAAATCCACACAAACAGGAGGAGGAACCTAGTCCAGAACCAGTGAACCCAGGTCCAGTCCAGTCCAGAACCAGTGGACTCAGGTCTAATCCACACAAACAGGAGGAGGAACCTAGTCCAGAACCAGTGAACCCAGGTCCAGTCCAGTCCAGAACCAGTGGACTCAGCTGCTGCCTCGTTCCTCTGTTCCACAGCAGAGATTTACTCTCGATTTGTTAAATCTGGGAATAACTGACATGAAGAAGAGCTAGAGCTGAAAGAGTGAGGATTAGAGAGAGCCGAGTGAAGATGATGACGATGATGACGATGAAGAAGACAAGGAAGATGGTAATGGAGGTAAGAGGAAAGAAAGACAACACGATGGAGAGAAAAGAATCAAATCCTGACGGAGAGTCCAAGTTGGTGAGTCTCTCTCTCTCTCTCTCTCTCTCTCTGTCAGCTGGAACCAACACGGGGCTGCACGTGTGACGTCATCGCTCACGGGGAACAAGCTCGGGGGCGTTGATCGTTTGCATCTAAGGTCCACGCCCCTTTTTCTTGGCGAATCGCTGAGATGCCTTCACTGTCCAAACAGGAGCTGGTATAAACGGCCTTCAGTCCTACTACAAGGAAAATAATATTTGTTCTTCGTCAATACGTCTGTGTAGCCCACTGCAGCTAACAGGCTAACTGTTCAGGCTGCTAATGACCCGCTATCGTTTCACTTCCGCTCGACTCACTGACGTTAACTTCACTGGAATTAAAGAAGTGATTGTCTCGTTATTAATCTGGAAGATTATCCACAGCAAGATAAGTATAGTGAGTACACAGTATACCAGAGAAGTATAGTGAGTACACAATATACCAGATAAGTATAGTGAGTACACAGTATACCAGAGAAGTATAGTGAGTACACAATATACCAGATAAGTATAGTGAGTACACAGTATAGCAGGGACGTGTACTCCCGTTCGTTTAGTGGTACAACTGTTCTGACGAAGCACTTAAATGACAGGAAAACAAACAAATCCAACAAAAGAAAATCGTTCCATCTGTTTTTTTCCTATGTTCTTTGAAGCTATCACATGTTTACCCTAATAAGCCACGCCCCCATCTCATTTCCAGCCAATGGTAGCATACATCAGACTGGGGCTTCGCTCAGAGCCCACAACACCAAAAACTAAAACACACGCTGAATAGCGAACATGAACGCAACATTCGCTGTAGACGTTGTTTCATCTATCCCTCGTAACTTCCGGTCTAAAAACTAACCACACTGTTTCAGTGATGTCCTTAAACGCAGCTCCGCTGCCGTCTTCTTGGACGATGTTGTTGAACAATTCAAATTCAACGTGGATCTCAGGATATGACGTCACCATATTTTTACATGGGGCAAGAGCGTGGCGCGTGCGTTCCGAACACATGTCAGTCGCACGCGCTGCGGTCGCTCGTTATGATTGGTCCTATCTGGGCGGCGGTTTGCTATTGGCCGATAGACAGTTGGGGCTCCGCCCACTAATGTGCCCTTGCAACTGACACGTGACCAAGAGAGACAGGGTGATTATTGAAAAAACGTGTGGTGAAAAATAAGATATGAAATGAAATTGTTAAACCTGATTATTACTATTAGATCTGTACGTCATCATGTGAGGTCATCACGGAGCACTCAGGTGATTCCTGGTTCGATTCCTTCTCATACGAGTCGTCATCATTGATGTCCCACTCTGTTGAATACAGACATCTCATTCATTAAGTCACGTCGTCCATCTGTGTGTGGGGGGCGTCTGGGGGGGAAGGTGATTATACTTACATTACAATAATTATACCTACATTTATATTTGTAATTTAAAATATTACAATATTTTGAGATGAAGTCAAATTTATTAAAACTATGACAAAACATTCAAAATGAATTCGCTTTGATTTTGATTTTTTTTTTTTTCAGTTACCGAGATCACTGATGTTGACTGGTTGGATTATTTCTACAAAAAGAAAAAAAAAAACTAAACTCCAACCCAGAAAATCAGACCTGCGAATAAAGGGCTCCACCTGGTGACTATAAACTGTCAGTGCATGTTATTAGCAGCTAAGACACGTACCTTTAAAAACTGTACTTAAAGTGAATTGTCATTGTGACACTGCCCACAACCAAATGTGAACTGTGCTTCACCAATGTCACCGGTGAGGTGGGGGGATTCCTAAGTTTCCAAGGTTTGACATTTAGAACGAAAACTAAAAAAATATTGACTTTTATGAAATCGTAAATAAATATGACTACGTTTTCAAATTTACAGCATAAAGAGTGTTTCTGTCATCAATGTTGTTTGTTCTTCTTTTAAAGCCCACATGTAGAACAACTTTTTAAAAACTCTTTTATTTGATGTTTTCATCAACTCATTTTTAGTCAAGAAAAATCAGGGTTATTAAGTCCTAACAATAACAATAATCAGAATAACAATAACAACATCAATAAATGTTTTAGATGGACAAAAAAGAAACGTATTACTTCAAAGATTATGTGCAGTTACAAACAGATGTGAAAGGAGGAGGAGCACATCAATAATAAAAGAAACTCAGGTGAACATAGCCCCCCTCCAGACAGTTCTAGACCAATGGTATGTGGAGTAAAAAAAGGACTAATAAAATATAATAGTAATGATTACAGTAAACTCCACTCACTTGTTGTTTCTAAAAAAAAAAGTGTTTATTTATTTACTTTTCTTAAAAAAATAAGTGAAATCAGTCGGTGTGAAAAACAACTTACTTCCCTGTGATGTCCTGACTGAGTTCCAGGAACCGATGGTGACTTTTCTCTTTTCTTTTTCAACAAAACTGAACGTTGGCTCTACACAGGGGGCGACAGAGAGACAGTGCTAAAATCTCTAAAGTTGAAAATTTGGTTCAGATTCTCATCACTGCTGCTGCACCAGAATCGGAGCGGTCATTTCTCCTGGCGAAGCGTCGCCGTGTGAATGGCTGTGGGTCGACACGGGTCTGACGGTCATCAGCTCCCAGGTTCCGCTGCCCATCCCCCGGCAGGAGAACCTGTGTCGGTCTAGTAGTCTGGGGTTCCAGAAACGATTTCTGCATCTGTGGCACTGGAAGGCGGCCCGTTTAAGATGCTGCCCTCTGTGTTTCAGGGCCTTGTGAAGCGAGCTGGTTTGTCGTCCGCACACCTGACACAGCAGTCGAGCACGGCGGTCCGAGTTGTGCGGTGGGTGTCGAACAGCGTGGTGGAGCAGCAGCGAGCCCAGCCTGGCATACATGGTGCTAGGGCAGATTGGACAGGGGAAGCGCTTGATCTGGATGTCCAGTGAGGTAAGGCCAGTGACCTTAACAGCACCCCCGCTCCAGGCTTTAACTGCTATTGTCCCGCCTTTCATCCTGAGCTGAGCCAGGAGCTTCTTCTTCTTGATCTGTGCCTGCAGCCTCCCCCTCTTTTTCCTGAGGAGCGTCAGCTTCCTTCTAGTGTCTTTACTCAGAGGAAAACCCACCAGCTTCCCATCCCTCATGATGCTGTGAATCTCCACACGTCTTCTTTTCTTTCGCTGTTTTCTTGTGTGTCCATGTTGCTTTTGGAAGTTTTTGGAGCGGTAGCAAAAAGGGTTCTGCAGGTGATGGTGCTGTTCCAGGTCCCTCGGGGCCCCCTGGTGCATGTGAGGCAGCCCGGTGTAGTTAGGACCCGGTGCTGTGTCGTAGAAGAGTGGCGAGAACCCGGTGGGCTGGGTTTGAGTGACACGCTGGTCGTTGCGGTCGATGCCGTGCTGTGAGAGCTTGTGTCGTACTAAACTGTTGGAGTAGGCGAAGGCTTTACCGCAAACGTCGCAACGATAGGATTTCTCTCGGCCCACGACGCCACCGTGCACAGTCTGCTGATGTGCTGTCATGTTGAAGTAGTGGCGGAATGATTTCCAACATACAGTGCAGGTGTAAAGCCTGTGGGAGGGAGTTCCAGAGGTTGGTGATTTTTCTCCTTGGGAGCAGGAGGAGAAGTAGTCGGAGTTCCCAGAGACCTGATTGACGGCGGCAGCGCCTTTGATTCTCCTGCCCTGGTTGTCAATCTCCCCTCTTCTATGCAACTTGCCGTGTCTCACCAGACTCTGTGCATAAGCAAACATTTTCCCACAAAGGTTGCATTTGTAGTTCTTTTGCCCAGAGTGGACGGTCAAGTGTTTCGTGAGGTGAAACGGCTCACGGAACATTTTCCCACATACTTCACAGGAATGAGGCTTTTCTCCTGTGTGGACACGGTTGTGACGTCGCAGCGTCTCAGCCCGCCTGAAGCGTTTTCCACAAATATGGCAACCATATGGCCTCTCTGAACCGTCCCCTGGTGGCGCTGGGCTCCTCCTCCTCCTGACTACACTGTTGGGGTCCCTTTTTTCTCTAGGCTTCCTTGGTCTCCTGGGCTTGGTGTGAATGTGTCTGGGGTGGGTCAAAGGCACAGTGGAGCCATTGAGGCTAGGAGTAGAGGGTGGACCACCCAAGCTACCAAACCCCAAACCTCCCAGCAATCCTCCAATGATGTCCCTCCTCTCCCCATCCCTACCCTCTGAATTTAAATCACAGGAAGCTGCAGCTGCTGCTGCGATGGCCGACATAGCACTACTGGTGACCTCATCCTCCGAATCATCCAGTAGGGAAGAAAGAGGAAGGTGTGTCTGCTGCTGCTGCTGCGGTTGTTGTTGATGGTGGTGGTGTTGTTGATGATTCTGAGGGTGGGGGTGAAGAGTTGGGGCCAAAGGGGCTTTGCGAAGTGTGTGGGCGCTCATTTCACTGGCTAGTGTACTCCCCGAGGAGTACATCGATGAAGACTGCGAACGTCTATAAATGTCCACTCCAGTGTTGAAGGACGACTGACTGGGGTAGCGGTTTTTGGAATACTCTGGGGCGTACTTGTCATTGGTCATTGTGACTCCGTTGTTTAAAATGCCCACTCTGTCTCCACTGCTGCCCATTTTACTGCTGCCAGGGTTCGATGAACTGCTTCCCCCACTGTTGGCTTGTTTTTTGGAATTGCGAGGGGGTTTGCCACAAGCTCCAGAGGCAGCGTGGTTGAGGAGAGCAGTGCTCTCACGGAAACACCTTCCGCACGCCGGGCAGCGGAAAGGCTTCTCGTCGTGGATCTTCTCGTGTCTCGTGAGGGACTCTCGGCGGTTGAAAGACTTCTGGCAGATGCTACAGGCAAAAGGTCGGTTTTCCGAGTGAGTGACACTGTGCTGGATGAGGTGACCCCTTTTTTTAAACCGCTTTCCACACTCGCCACAGCAGAATATCCTCTCTGGGCTAGGGGTGTTGCAATCTAACTTTCTGCTGTGACTCTCTGGCGTCAGGCCGTGGCTGCGCAGGTGCCTTCGGAGGCTGGAAAGATGGGTGAAGGTTTTACCACACTCACCACAGTGGTAGAGAGGTTCTGGTTCAGACTGGTCAGACGTACTGCTCCTGTGAGTATCCCTGTCTTTGGGCAACTGCTGGTTACCATTGGCTACTAGCACAGAGGTGGGGTTGGAGGAAGAAGGGTTAGAAGAAGAGGAAGAGACAGAGGAGGAAGACCGCTGCGAGGAAGATGTGAGGAGTGAGGAATGTTGTTGCTCACTGCTGATTCCACTTATAGCAACCCCAGTGGATCCTGCCCCGCCCACAACTCCCGACGATGAGCTTTGACTGTGTCCACTAGAGCTGCTGTTGCTGCTGCTGCTGCTGCTGCTGCTGTGGCTGCTGTGGCTACTACTGTCTGCTTTTCTCTGGGGCAAGTAGCCTGCCATTGCCTTCTTTCTCCTGCTTCCTCCACTTGAGGCTGATGTGGTTGTGGTGTCTCCAGACTTGGATGCATCATCTTTGGAGATGGACAAGTGTAGAGGGATTGGCAGAGGAAGCCCAGTCTCCTGTTGCATCAGAGAGGCTATCTGATTGGAGGACAGGACAGGGATGCCTTGAAAATCAAAGCCTCCGAGTGGGGCAGGCTGGGGGGCCGGATGGAGAGGGTGTGGGTGGTGAGCATGGCTGTGTGGGTGCGGTAAGGCGTGAGGCGTCAGCTGCTGCTGCTGCTGCTGGGGCTGAGAAGTTGGGTGACTGTGGGAGGAGTGGAGGGCCGTGGGGGGGAGGCCTGAGTTTGACTCTGTGGGCCCTTGGCTAAGACCTAGGCCCAGATGGTTGTGGGTGCCTTGCTGGACGAGGAACTGTTCCAGGCTGCTGTTGGCAGGAACACCAGACAAGAAGTACTGGTTTGCTGCTAGCATGCAGCTGAACTGCTGGTGGAGGCTCCGAGGATCGGACTGTCCAACCAAGGGGACGGTGGTACTGCCAGAAGGGTTGTTAGCAGCTGAAGCAGAGGTTGCAGGAGATGCTGAGGAGGAAGAGGGACCAGGGGAGGGCTGGGGGACAGATAAGCCTGGGTGTAGTGGTGGAGGTGGAGGCGCTGGTGTGACCACACCCCCAATGACACCTGCACTTCCTGCACTGCTGCTTCCTCCAAAGTCAAAACGTCCCATCCCAGAGTGGAGCTGCTCCTGCGCCAGCGCCGCCTCTGCTGGGTGAAAAGGCCGTAGAAATTGGGGATAACCTGACGCAGAGTTCCCACTGCTGCTGCTCATCTTACTGGACTTCCTAGAGCTGTGTGACGCAGAGGATGATTGGCTCTGATGAGAGATAGGTGGGTGTGGGGCACTCATTTTAGCAAATAGTGATGAAGAATCAGCAAAGGCATTGCTACGGGAGCTCTGGAGGGATCCAAGACCCAGGCCAGACAAAAGAGTCCCTGAGGCTTCGGCGGAAGGTTGGTGCTGCTGTTGAAGCTGTTGCTGATGCTGCAGTTGGACTTGCTGCTGGTGGCTCAGCTGTCGTTCAAGTCCGAGGCCTTTGAACTGATGGGCTTGGTGTCCACTTAGCATCTCTAAAATGTCCATGGGGTACTTGCTGAACTGGAACATCTCCAAACGAAGCTGTAGCAAAATAGCCAAGAAAACAGCAGTCCTTTGTGAACTTATCAAGTCTGGTTTTTGGATGTGTTCCGTTTTTACCAACGAGGAACCTAGGAAGATTTTTAAGAGTCTATGATGTGAAAACCTTGGTTAGGTTTTGAAGTGCTTCTGTGGGACAACTGATATAAAAAGTTCATAAATAATGTACTATTCACTAGATGTTAGTATGACACTTGGCCTGTAGTGTTGTAGTGTCAAAATGTCCTTTCATCATCTGTGGCCTGTTTTCATCTCAGGTGGTAGTGTTTCCACTGGCAGATCCAGGTCCAGTCTGAAGAAACAAGAAGAACACACTCATGGTGACCATGTCTATGTTGTTGGGTATTTTATCAAAGACCTGGTTGACCTCTAATCTAAATCACAACTAAATGAATGCAGTGACCATGTTCACATGGGTAGTTAATAAATCTACGCATGTGGTACCAGGTGTGTAGATGTTACAAAGACAAATGTGTACAAAATGTTTTATCATGTTGGTCAACAGTAGGAGCTAAAGAGCAGAAAAACTCACACGATGTTGGTCAACAGTAGGAGCTAAAGAGCAGACAAACTCACACGGTCCCTGCTGCTGTTCCTGCTGCTGTTCCTGCTGCTGTTCCTGCTGCTGTTACTGCTGCTGTTACTGCTGCTGCTGCTCAGATGATGAGTTTTCTCCACTCACACCAGTGACCTCATGAAGGTGGTCTGAAACAGAGTAATGTCAGACACCAGTAAAGTGAAAACAGTTATAATAATTAAAATTTCAATTAAAAATAATTCATCCACAGTAAGGCTGCACAATCGAAAGCTGGTCTGAAATGCGATACGTTTTGTTTACCATGTTTGTGCCATGCTTTCACAGCCAGCATGCTGACATTTGACCAATCAGATGTCGTCCAGCTCCGCTGACCTTCCTGTAGGAACAGCAGTCAGAGGAGTGAGGAGAATGGCAGAAGCTGGAGAGCAGAGCGGTTGTAGCAACATCTAGAGGTGACACCACCAACCTCCACCACCATAAAGGGATGCACCAGCATTTCGAGGCTAGTCAATCTAGAGCGCAAACACCGAACAGCAGTGAAGTAAGGCGGCCATCGCAGCAGCAACAGTCCATTGGTCAGAGCTTTTCTGAGCATGACTCTGCATGAAAAGTCCTCTTAACCAGGGGTCACCAACGTGGTGTGATGGGGCACATGGTAGACTCCGTGGACTACCTAAGGTGCCCGCGGGGTATGTTCTAAAAACTAGTCAACAAGAGAGTCATGGTACGGTTACTGTGCTTTCTGAATTCCACTTCCAATGATTTTCAAATGGGTGTAACGTCGATGGTCAGAAGAGCTTCTGCTGTTGTCTGTCCCAGAACCAATTATTATGACGTTGGTTGCTGTATCAAGTCTGTATCAATCTTCGTCTTACTAAGTGCCTCTAAAGTAGTTCTCTGTTTGAAAAAGGTTGGTGACCCCAGCTCTAAACAATACAGTGGAATTAGGGAGACCATAACTCACTATTTGGCAAAGGATAGGATATTGTGTGTTTTCATCACAGATTTAAGTTTATAATTTTTTAGTTCTTGTTTTTACAATAAAGGCTTTTATTTTGAAAGGTTTCGGTCACAGTTGCAGAGTTTTGCTGTTGTAAATAAGTGACGTACAGTTAGACGGAGAAAACAGACAAAAATAATTGGTATTAGCACAAAGTTTATATATTTGTATCATTAAGCTATCATTAAGTTCTCGTTGTGCCACGTGTGTTTAAAAGCAGCTCTGACGTTGGTTTTAGGACCAACAATAAAACCGTCTTTCAGTGGGATATGCTCCAGACATGACACCCAGTAATACTGTGACCAGACCTGGACTCGTGAGTGACAGACACATTAACTGTATGGTCATCGTTACACTGAACCACGTCAATGTACATCACATGTTGTAAATTATGATTGTTTTCTAAATCAATCCTGTGGTTCCTGGAGCTGTTCATGGTACAATAATATATATATAACCTTAGTTGACCGAGGACATGCTGAGGACGCTTAGCTGATACAAGAGGACTAGTGACCCCAGGGGACTAGTGGAAGTCTCTGTCTGTCTGACAAACGTCAACATATTTTTGAAAAACGCAGTGATTTCAAAGTCAGCAACATTTCTACAAAACATAGAGACCAGCTCTTGGGTCTACGCTGTGTGTGTAAGTAAAGAACTGCTTTCAATGAAGTCCGTTCTGTTCCACCCACCACTGATTTCTTATAAAAACATGTGAAACTACAACAGCACTTGGAACACGTTGTTTAAATCAATGAAATCCATCTGAAAATGTTTTTGTTTAATTCAACGGAAACTGACAGACAATGTTCATGTGTCGATAGATCTTTACATCAAAAAAGAAACAACAACATAATAAAACAAATTGCCCTGTGATTTTATTTTTACCCCAAACTAAATTGTATTGTGGTTTTTAGAAGAAGAAAAAAAAACACGAACATTATCGCAGCGTTAGCTCGGCAGCTAATACCGAGTACAGCACAGAATATATTGCATTTCATTTATTTCTTTTGTTTATGTTCAACGTCATATTTTATATTGCAATTGACAATGTCTATATAAAAAACGAAATCTCTATGTTAGCGAAGTTAGCATGGAGTTAGCAGCGTTGTCTTAGCATTTAGCCGCCTTGGTATTTTCACAATGCTACTTGTTTTCATTTTTTTATCGCTGGTACTCACCTGTAAGTCCCTCCTGGCCCGATCTGGTCACCGAGATGAAAGCCGTTCTGTAGAATCAACAGCTGCATCGGAGCCCGTGCAGGAGTTCCAGAGACCGCGGGGCCTGGTTCTGTTCCAGCCGAGGAGGAGCATGGATAAGCGGTGACGGGATCTCCATCAGCCCCGCGCGAAGCAGCCGTGCCAGGCTTTTCGTGCAGCCTAATAATAAGCAGGTTTTAGGGAGAGACCAGAACCCGCCAAGTACCTTAGGACCTTCAGACCCCCACAGACTCCTTCAGACCCCCTCCGCCCCTTTGTTTTGTTTCTTGTCTCTTTTTCCCGTTTTCCGCCTCCTTAGCTTTTTTTCGACCCAGCTCGGCTCAGCTCGGCTCGGCTCGGTTCAATCGCTACTCTCAACCCTAAAATGGTCGTTTCCTGTGTGGGACCGGAACATTTCCGGGTGGATATGAACCCGGACTGAATTTTATGTCATTGTGGAGCCCATAAGAAATATAGAAACGAGGAGACAGAGGTGGTGCAGTCACAAAACCGAAGACCACCACCACCAGCAGCAGCAGCAGCATCTACTGAACAGTGTGTGTTCACTTCCATCTGCGCATCCCCAGCACCACCACAGACCACCACCCTGGTGGTGCCACTCTGGTGAACCACAAGTGATTTTAGCTCAGACCAAAGTCCATAAAGAAAATCAGTGATTTTAGTTCAGACCAAAGTCCATAGAGAAAATCAGAGATTTTAGTTCAGACCAAAGTCCATGGAGAAAATCAGTGATTTTAGACCACAGACCAGTCCTTAGAGTTATTTCGGCTCACAATGACGCATGAGCTGTCGGTCTTTTGCTGCCTCTTGTGGTCATTTTGAGATGACCAGAGATTTTGAGCTCAGACATTAAACTGTGATGAAACAAATCAACAAACAGTAACAGTGCAGATTCATCACACAAACATGTTTGAGTGGATTTCTTTATTTATTGTTGCTATTTTCAGTGAAACACACTACGGTTTATATTAAAGAGAATTAAAGAGCAATTAGAAAATGGTTTCACTTCAGAGTTTTTTTTTTGTTTGTTTGGTTTTTTTAAGAAGAAGAATGTGTTTTATACAAGCTGAGGTATGTTGAGTAGCTTAAGGAATACATCACACAAATAGAGTCTAAGTTTTTATCCGGGCATCAATGTATAAACACAGTCAACAACATGTGTATCAGTTCCAGGAAGAAATAAAAAGATTAAAATGAAGATAGTTCACGTCTGTCACACGTTTCTCACAAAACATTTTTAAAAGTGGTCAAATTAGCATCAGAACAGATTCTAAAAAACACTATTTCTTTTAAAACCAGCGCAAACAAAGGAGACACAGTTCAGGTTGTCAAAGAGCGGCTGAACAGTAGAGGGCACTGGTGATCTCATGATGGTTGGCTGATTGGCAGCGCCAACTCCAGGAAACGG